GATCAGAAACTGATCAAGTCCGATCCGAAATTCTGATCAGGCATGTTACGCCTCTGCCTTAGGTTTTTCCACTAGGGTTTCTCCGCCTTCCATCATTAGGCATTAATTAAATTTAATTTTTTGAGAGAAAAAATTAGTAACTTCCTAGCCGGGAATCGAACCCGGGACCTCCCAATGTCGCGTCGGGTGCGCTTACTTTTTTTTTCATGGTTTTTATTCATTAACAATCAATATTTACATATTTACATAACTTAACTAGAATCGAAAAACTTTTATGCAAAATATTTTCATACGATTTCGTAAACTTATGGTCCATTAGTGACTCTCAGGTTTAATTTTATATTTCTAAATTTGATTTCATAATAACAATATTTTTTGAAGTGCAATTAACAATGCTATTAATAAATGAATGTGTAAACATAATAATGTGCCTAAAAAAAAAGAAATTTTTTTTTTGCTGTAAGTAAAAAAAAAAGGCACGGCAGGGTATCCGCAAAAGAAGAGATGATTAATGTAATTTTTTTCAAAAATTACCTATGGTGAGACTTTTTATAGAAGAATCACTTACATATATGTGAAATTCTTGGTATAAAGCAGCTGTAAAATAGAGTAAATAAATTAGACTGTATTTATAATCTTTGTACTTATTTTCGCATTCACAGTCTATGTGTTTATTATTAATAATAATATTATTATAAAAATATTCAAGAAGGACGGAAATTATTCCTATGATATCTGTTTCTTTGATTATTCTTATTTTTGTTTAACTGTTTGTAAATTGCTTCACGAGCAGTGAGTTCTCTCATAAATCTATCATCGGCATCCAGTCACCAATACTTTTTGTTTAATCTATCAAAGTTATCAATATCTACCTTAGGAATATCTTTCGAATAAACCATTGGTTTAGACTCAAAATCATCCAAAGGAATTTTTTTGACTTTTATGTCTTTTAATATGGAATAAAATGGGCTTGTTCCATTCATCTTGGAACAGGCCCATTTTGTCGTATTGAATGAAATATTGGGGTTTGATGTCATTGCATCTGGCCCGATCAATTGCCTCCTCCACTGGAAATTCAGCTAGAGCATTTATTGTATCATTTTTGATGTTTTTGATTTTATTATAATAATTCCTGGCCAATCTAAGGATAAAGTTATCAATCCTCGGAATTTCCGCTCTATCATATAGCGCTTTGTTGCTCACATTACGCTGATAATCGGAGTGTGGAGATCTGTACATGAAAAGACAAGCTCAAACATTTTCTCTCGAATAACCTCAATCGTTCCATCTGGTGAGCATCGGGTGCTCTTACCATCTGAGCTACCAGGACACTTACGAATTTCACTCTCAAAGTGACTCATACCCGAGTGGAAATTCTATTCAGGTCTCGATCAGAAACTGATCAAGTCCGATCCGAAATTCTGATCAGGCATGTTACGCCTCTGCCTTAGGTTTTTCCACTAGGGTGGCTCCCAAGAGTAGTTAATTTAGAGACCAGTTGGTGGGTCCTCAGATGTACTTTGCGATCACAAATTAGCATCTAAAAATTGATTCGTTTCCTTAAATTTTAGAGACCTCATCCTCTATTCCAAGGAAGAATCTACAAAAATCTTGAAATATCTAGATGAGCATAAATCACAGGGTAATGCCATATGGAGAAAAATGGAGGCAGCGAAGGTACATGATTGTAAAATATATATGGAGCTGTTAATCATTTGCTATTCATAATAGAAGACTTACATGGAGCTCAGTTTTCTCTAATGTCTCTATTCAAAGATTCTACACAACCCATAGATAGCTAATTTAAAGAATTATGAAGAAATATTGCCTCGATATTTTACAATAAGTGATTGAAAATGAGATGTTTTCGAAATCTATTACTTCGGTGATGATGTCACAAAGTGGTATAAGTAATGCTGGGTAGCGCTCCGTCGGTCGAATGTGAAGAGACAGGGGGGTTGAGGTCATGAAGCCCAAATGCGGAATATCGAGTGCACCAACTACTGAAACTTAATTCTCGAGAATACGGTAGTCGCTCGATTAGAGTTAAGGTTGAGCGAACAATCCCCTGAAGAAATAGAATGAAGAGTTATCCAATCGTTAAATAGATCATATAATAACAATTTTTAATATAGAGTAAAATTCTCGCATACACAGAGTTATAGTGTTTGCATTCTATTGCAGAAAATTATTATATTCATAAGTTCAATGTTTTTATTCATTTACTACACTGAAAAATTCTTGAATCAATTACTATTTCTAACGTAATTTGATTATTCACTCGGCGTCCATATGAAATCTCATCATGAGTAATATAATTGATGTAGCTATTTCGAAAATACCTCGATCATTTTGGTCATTCGTGGCTTGAAAATGCAATTCAGAATTAGTGATGCGAAGGAAAGAATGCAACTAATACTATTTCATACCTCACTTACGCGCTCTTTAAAAAGTGGACAAGTATATTTTACGTGAGAAATTCACAACCTTGAAAATATCATATTGAAAGGAAGCAGTAAATTGAATAGTCATATATCTGCCATAGCAAAATGCGTAAATTCAGATGGGTCCATATATGTCATGGTTAATTTAGATCCGATATCAATATTAAATCCTCAGAATTGAAATTTTCATAGATCACCGTCAATACTAATATCTTTTTTATTGTTTGAAAGAATGCGTCATTCATACATGACGATGGGTTCTCCATTAGAGAATTTCCGTTTCAAATCTATGTAGA